CTCTGTTCTCCCTTCTTTGTTGTGCAGGCCAACAAATGAAGATCCAGCCAATCAACTGGGACTCAGGAGGCAGAGGAGAGATGGGGGTGGGGCCAGTCAGAGGTGGTATTTGCCAGTTCTCTGAACTACTCAAAATTTCCACTACTGGTTCTCCAGAACTGGTCAGAACCTGCTGAATACCACCTCTGCTGTAAACTAGTACCTGACAGTACTAGAAACTGGAAAAGACAAATGCCATGTCATGTGTACACCTACAAAGATCAGAATTGTGTAAGCTATGGAATTCTCATTGAAACTGAAGTTGGACTTTAAAGAAGCAGGATTGGAAGAGTATTGATGCTTTTGAATTAGTATTGAAAAAGATCCCCCTAAGATTATCTTGGACAGCTAAGAAAAACAACTGAACAAATCAACCTAGAGCGGTCACTCAAAGCACAAATAACCAGGCTAATAATGAGAACAATCAACCATGGAATGGTTTGTCTTCAGAAGTTGTGGGCATCCCAACATGGGAGGTTTCAATGAGACTACATAGTCATTTGTTTGAAATGGTATAGGGTCTCCTGCTTGAGCAGGGGCTTGGACTAGATGACCTCCAAGGTCCCTTCCAACTTGTTATTCTGTAAGTCTGTTGTAGGCGCAAATTATCTTACTTAAGATACATTATGGAAAGATCCAGGTCTCTGGAAAAGGCTGTAATGCTGGGAAAGGCTGAAGGAAAAAGAAGATGAGCAGTAACAAAGTGGACAGATTCATTGGTAATGGATGCACCATTGAAAAACCCCAAAATATGTGGGGCATTGTGGGGGGGGGGAATTTATCTGGCTGCTAAATGTTGACACTAACTGGATAGAACCTAATAAATCAAGGAGTTTGGGGAAAATAATTTGAGGACTCAGTAATGTTCAATGATGTATTGTTTTAAAGCTGTTGCCTTTATTTTTTTTTATTCTAGTTTATTCTAGTTATAATAATTATGTATTATGCAACTATATGGCTCAAAACTTTTCTAAAGTTCGGCCATAGCTTAGTTAGAGCTAAGTTCTAACTGCTATAGTTAGAATCTGTGGGTTCTAGATATCTTAGCAAGTTTCTCAAGATCAAATGGAACAGTTAAAACTTTAATTGTAAATTTACTGAAAGTTATGTTTTCACATCCAACAAACATTATCATTTTGGATTCTAGTGACATAGCTGTACTTTGATTTATGTTTTTTGATGAAGAGATAGTATCATTTAAGATAAGATTGTCCAATCTTTTGACTTGCCTAGGCCACATTGAGTGAAGAGGAATTATCTTGTGCAGAATATAAAATATACAATATAGTTAATGCGTATAAATAACAAACTTCCTTTATTTTTATTTTATTTTTTATTGTGGGACTACATTACTTGCTGTCCAGGGCCATATTTGGCCCAGGGATCATAAGAGCTTGGACATATCTGATTTAAGATTTCTATAATTGTCTCAAATATTGTCTGTATCATGGCCCATACTTTCACTGCTAGAATATGTGTTTAAATATATTTTTTCTGGAAAACTCAGTATGAACATTCTCATTTTTTATACACCCACACACTTATAGACTGAAACTGACTGACTGAAAACACAGGAAAAGAAAAAAAAATAAAGCTATTCAGTAGATATTTTTTCCCATTATTCTATTTGTTATTCTCTGGGATTTTCCAACAATAAATAGATGAATTCCCTCCAAACACATCTGAAGACCAATTTTATTTGTATTCATTCACTCTGAAGAAATCACATGGAACTTACTATCAAATAAAGTTTCTCAGTCAAGCTTAACCTTTTGCACTATAGGGATAATCAGGTGCATGATGACATACAACACCAGCAGAGGGAGCTCTCCCTACAGCCTTCTCCCAACCTTGTTAGAGACACCAGGATGTAAGTGAGAGAAAATCTGAGAGTCAAATTTCCAGTCTATTTGGAGGGAACTAAATTTAAGAATGACATTATAAAGTATTAAAAGAACATTTTTATAGAAAGAAAATGGGGAGAGAGATGTTGGCATCCATATGTACATAATGTTTACTGGAGAACAAATTATAGCGGGTGATATGGATGTTACCATATCTGTAAAAAGAACATTCCATATAAATATTTCCGTATTTATATTTCCATTACATACATGTAGCACCTTGGTTTGTTGTGTCCAGAACTGGATCAACTTTACAGTGTAGTAATAGGGAACAAACACTCTCCTTCAATATAATTCTACTTATAGTAGACTAATTCCTACGAATATTATTTTGTGAAGGAAAATAGCAAAAAATACTTGTTCTGAAAGAGATTCTAGGCAAGTTTATTGATAGACTGATAGATAGAAAACAATTTGTGGCTTACTGCTATATAATCAAGGTGTGTATCTCCCTATCTCAGTACTGGTTTGCACCCATCCTATTTCCATGCTCAAATTAATTTCAAGAGAAGGAAAATTCACCTATGGACCTTTTCTAATCAGCAAGCTGCACGGGGTAGGAGATATAACAAAGAAAATAGTCTTCTAGGCCACTTTACAAAGATAAGGGAAAATCAAAAATACCACAAATGAAATATAAAAGGGATGAAGGTTGAAAAGCAAGCCCCTTTTATAGAGAACAAAACCATCTAAGACATTTTGAATAGATTTTACAATGCTATTTGTAAAAGGAAGGATGGAGTTTTGCCTTTCCTTGAATGCACTACCAATTTTATAATTTCCCTTCCAAAGTAAAGGAGCCCAATCATTACTTTTCATTGAGCAGGAAGTATTATAAGGGTTTGCTGTTGTTGCCTTTTAATAAAGAACCACCTCAATCTCCTGTGAAGGGTGGCAGTGGGGTTGCCGAAATCAAGATTAACAATTGATTAGTTTTAATGGTCCATGACAACAATAAACAATAAGACCCCTGTCAGAAATTAGATTGTGCTGCTAATGCTGCCAACTCAAATGACTTTTAAACTAAAGGTGCTCAACACTTTTACAAACATAAACATTTAAGATATTCACAAATTCTGGAAACATTTGTCTTAAATCATAAATTAGAAAACAATAGCTTTTCTTTGATTTGAGCAATCGATCTTTCTGGCCATTAGAAAAAAAACAAAATAGAGTAGAATATTAAAATAATAAATACATACAATCAAAGTTTATAATCAAAAGTATCCTTTTGATTGTAATCTTTAATAATACTTTAAATAATACTAAAAGGGAAATGGATATTTCAGCTATATTTAAATTATGTCTTCATTGTACTTCTTTAATGTATTTGAAGCATTATTTCTATGTGTTTAATTTTAAACATTTGCACCATATTAGTCATAGTAAACACTGCAACACATTCATATTAATACACTGTGCTATAATCTGGAAATAAAACCAACACTATTTTTTGTAAGCCTACGATGCAAAAGACCTGAGATAACATATAAGAATCTAGTCAATATGCATCAGTAGAAAAATATTATGGGCTGGGGAAAAGGAGGGAAAAAATTTACAAAACATTGTAGTAAATTATATAAACACATGAGCTTTTTAATGCAACAAGAAATAAGGCAGGTAAATTCTCTTGCATAATTTTGCTACCAGTACTTAACTCATTTTGATGAAACAGAAATTATTTCAATGGAGAAGAGAATTTTGAAGGAATTCTCATTAAAAGTATTGAACAGTTTTATTTTTAGCTGTTTTTGTTGGCTGGTTGACTATAAAAGTGATCTTTGTTGTAAAATCATCTTATCAGCAGTTTCAAATTTCCCTGCTTTTCCAAGCTTCATTCAGTCCTAAGAAGGACCTTTTCCCATTGCCTTTTTTTTTTTAATCAGAGGTGCTAGGAGTACTCCCATGACCATTTCTCCACAACCATCTCTCCGTGGCCAACTCACTGCAGGCCAACTCAGCACAGACAATTTTGTAGGATAGCTCAATGTGATCAATGTTATCTGCCACTATTTCTTTGACATTATTTTTAATTGACAAAAATGGAAATAATGTCAAAGAAACAGTGGCATATAACATTTATTGCCTTGAGTTACTCTGTGTGAAATTATCTGTGGCGAGTTGCCCCACCATGAGTTGGCTGCAGCATGTTGCCCTGCAGGAAGTTAGCCATGCTGCAGCAAGATGGCCATGGTGGATTGGCTGTAGCAAAATATCCACGGCAAATTGTCCCCTTCCACATTCTCACTATAAGTGAGAGTCCTGCTCTTTGTAGAAGAATTTCTCCTTCATCTGTTGAAATTTGGACAATTTTTCTCTCTCTCCAGAAATGTCATGGATATCCCTACAGAGCCAATGATGCCCAGCTACAAAAATATGTGGTAAATAGAAATATGTAGTGATGTATAGAAAATGAATTTTACTTTATTTTTTCCCTTTTCTCTTATAATAGTAGTAACTGAGGATAGCCAAGCTGGATATCTGTCCTTCATTCAGATAAAACCATTTTTTAAAAAAATATAACCAATATTTAAATGATGGCATTTGCTATAACAACTTGGAATTTGCTATACAGCAGTGGATAAATGCATGGAAATTAAGTAAATCCTAATGGATATTTGTTAAAAAGGTTGTATGATTTCCAATAGCAGAAGAGTCTATCAGCAGAATAATGCTTTTAGCTCATTTCCTGCCTATGTCTTCCCATTGGCTTTTGCAATTTATGATGCTAGATAACATATAGACATTTCAACTTACTGAATCTCTAGTAGGATTTATATTGCTTTTGAGTTTATTTACCATCAAATCTTTTGAAAAGCGAACTTTTAAAAGAATATTTCAGTCACTTTAATAAACAAACAGGCATCCTATTGCTATTGTTTGATCACTTCTTTATAGCAATTTTTAGATGACTATAGTTTGATTCTATAATGAGAAGGCATCTCCATTCTTTACTAACAGTCCTTTTATAGATTCTGCTCTCTTTCTATGAATAGTTGTAGCGATTCATGAAACAGAACCTTTTGATTGTAACTGCTGAAGTCAGATTTTTCTTACCTGTAAATCAGCATCAAATGTATGTTTCAGGTGAGCTTCTTCTGCAGCTTCAACGAGGCGCTAAACAGAGAAATGTAAAGAAGTAAAATTATTTCCTAGAAATTTGATTTTCCTCCCATGTTGATAATCAAAATGCAGTTTTTTTTAAGTTCAACATACTCAGTTCCACTATACTAATTGCTATAAATATTTGCTTTCTGTAAAGTAAATGACCTGGGATGAGGGGGTGCATGTATAAATAGGGACATCAATCCTTTGTAGCAATCTCAGTCATGTCAAATGTTCCAATACATGTAAATGTTAAATACTAGTACTTTCTGCTATGCAAAGACATTTTTTTTTCCAGAGTAGTGATTTTATTGGGTACGGTCATGAATATTCAGCCAACTTCATTATAAATTTTTGAAAAAGTCTAAAATGGCTGTTGCAGGCATTTTAAATAACATCTCCCCTCTTTGTGTGGAAAAAAGGTCAAAGGACTTGATATATAATTGAACTCTGTGTAAAATGTTTCAGTGATTTTTTTCCCCCCAGACAGCAGCATTTATGAACATGCTGCATAAAAATGAGTCTCCTACATCATCAGCAGTCAATCCCTTGAATCTCTCTAGTGGAAGCTATAATTCAAAGGTCTCAATTTAGTTTGTTATTGATCCAGAATTTCCAGCCACATCAGAATTAGCAGTACAGTAATGATAATATTGAACACTTATGCTTTAAACAAGAAAAAAAGACTTCAGCATTAACATTAAATGAAGAGCAACTATTTATCAAAGAACGTTCTCCTTTTCTTTCTTTCCCAACTATGTAGCCAAACAGTTTTTGTTGTTCTCCTCAAGTTCCTTTTGGTTCCTGTTCAAAGAAGCTACTATATATTCAGTTGATGCACAGGCTAGAAGCGTATTTGACTTTTCTTATTGCTGTCTAAATACAAGTTAATGTGACTTAGTTTCTCTTTATCTCAAAATGAGCAGGAATGAAGCTACATCAAGGAGACCTACTTGCTATGCTCCATCAAACAAGCAGCCTCTCCCTCAATGACAACACACACAGAATGAACATTGGCAGGGGAACAGCTTCTTGTGTACAATGTAGACAACAGTATAATAAATATTTCCTTAAGAGCAAGACTGCCAATGTAACAGCAATCACATTCGTGTGAAAGCCTTTGTACATAGAGTATCCAAACATAGTATTAAGCATTTCTCATTTGTACATTCCTTTCAGTGGTAACTATAAACAAACTTCAATTTTGATCCCCAAAAGAGCAATTTTAGGGAAGAAAATAAATATAACTAAACTATTATCAATAAAACAATCAGAACCATGTAAGCTAAAAAAAAAATGAAAAACCATTATTTCAAAACCATTATCAAGTACATTGGAGTCACATTGTTCAGACTTCATGACTGAGCCCCAGTGGTGTCATCTGCCCCATCAGATGCCATCTTGTGGAGAGAGTTGGTGGGATGGGAGGTGGCTATATCCAAGCTATGGGGCTAAGTTAAGCTCAGGGGCCTTCAACCTGGTTATATTCGATATTGATGTAATGAAAATAAACATTAAAATTCTTCCCCTACTCATTTTACCTGAAGACTGAGTTGGAAAAGAGCAACTGGAGTAAGTTTAACCTAACTGGTGATAGACTAACATTATTTCTCTTTTAAGAGACCCTTATGCTGAAATACTGGTTCTGAATTTTTCCTATTCTTGATTTAAAGGTTCAAGTCTTTGAGGGAATGAACATAAACTTGAGTGGAATTAAACCAAATGAGAATTTGAATTTTTTTTTTAAAAAGCAAACCTGCTCTTCTGACATTGTTACTTGTTTTTTTAAAAGGGGGGAACTGTATTACTACAAAAAATGTACAAGTGATTAATTACATGTTCCTTGAAATTTTAATGTAAATTTGTTCTTTTTATGTATATCTTAGATAAGCAAAAAAATGTGTGTGGTAAAGATATAAATAGGATCCAGTTATTAGATCATCAATATTTTAATCTAAAAAAGTAGAAAAGAACATAATCATGGGAATGCTCGCAGTCATGGGGCATTATGGCAGAAATCCATTTAAACACTATAATTTTGGAATATTTTATAGATTAGGGATATCTGGCTTGGTGATCATACTTGTAAAAAAATCTTAGAGGAGTGGTATTGAGATGTATCTCTTAAAAAGACAAATAGAATTAGCGACAAAATCCAAATCATGGGAAGCAATAGATCTGATTTACCTGGTGTTGCTCAGATCCCCTATCTCCAGTTGTGGGCATACTATTTAAAGAAGGATTCAGAGAAACTGGAACAGGTTGGCGGAAAGACAATGAAGCACCCATGAAAAGATATTGAAAGAGCTCAGAAAGTTTAGATTGGGGGGGGGGGGAACTGGCAAGGAATTATGATAGTGTTCTTCAAATAATTTCAGGACTTGGATCTATCAATGCAGAGGAAGGGTTACAAGGTAATAGATTTCCAACTGAATGTTAGAGAAACTATTGTTAACAATAACAATAAACCAAATTACCCAACGAGATTTTCAGCTACCTTATCTAGTTTGTGTTCAAGATGCTGTAATTTGGATTCCCACACTGAACAATCTATGATTCAATGATATCACATCTCTGATTTTTGCAAATTTTGAAAATGATATGAAAAGTTCAAACCCTGTTCTAGCCAATTGTTTACCCTACTTCTCCACTGTTCAGCAAGTCACAGAAAATAAAAGAGCATTGGTAACTTATATTTGTACAGAGAATAAGCAGAAGAAAAGGAACCATGAATATAAGGCTAGTGATAAGCAAGGATATAACTCTTTTTTCAAATTTTGAATTATAATTAGATATCAGTCTACTACATGAATTATCTCCCAGGTCAGGTCTTCTAAAAGCAAGGGTCACCAACTTTTTGGACCTCAGGGACCACCAAACTCATCATTTTCAATCCCAGTGACCACTAACCGGTTCTGTGGGCGTGACCTGATTTGTGGGTGTGGTTTGGTGGTTATATGACTGGCTGGGCATGGCTTGTATGCAAATATTATAAATATTGATATAAATATTGATATTTTTATAAAAAATATCAATATTAATAAAAAAGAGCAACTTTTACCCAAAATCAGGCAAAGCAGGCAGGCAGATTGAGTTGCTCACAGAATCATTCAGTGATCTATCTATCTGCCATCGGCTAGCTCAGTCTCTCAAATTTGCTTGTCGCGAGTCTGCACTGAATAATAGAACCTTCAGTCCTAAGGGAGTTCAGCTGTGCTTAAAAGTAGAGCTGAAGATCTAAAGACTAGCTAGAAAGCAAGAAATCCAACCATTTCCTGCTTCCTAGCTAATCTAAATCTCCCAGCACAGCAGAACAGATGATGGTCGGAAAAAGGAAAAATAGCAATTTAGCAGGCAAGTTTGCTGGGTAAAGAGTGAGTGGGTGGGGAGGGTTCCCGCAGGCCATGTGGGCTGCGCAGCCTTGTGTTTCTGTGCAGCCTGGATTATTTGCTTTGGGGGGCTACTCTGAGGGTGAGATTTCTCTGAGGCCCACCAAAATTTTCTCACAGCCCACCAGTGGCTGCAGCCCATCGGTTGGCGACTGCTGTTCTAAAGCAGAGGTCCTCAACCTTTCCCGCTTTGCGGACTGTGGGGGGAAGGGATGGTTTAGTGCAAGCAGCCAGCAAGCATGCACACATGCGCAGCTCCATGTGTGCGAAAAGCAGGCACACATACCCACTACTTGCACAAACAGAACATGCATGAGCACACGCTCATCTGTTGCTTGTGCATATGCTCGCCTGCCCCTTCCACGGTTTTGAACAGCTCATGGCCCAGTAGTGAGCCATGGCCCAGGGATGCTCCCCCCTTTTCTAAATAATAAATTTCCAAGTTTCTCTACTATGTATCCATATTAATACGTGCACAGAATAAAAACCCATTCAGGTGGCACTGCTAAGGAAGTATATTTTACACCAAAATGTATAATCAGATCTATCTAACCCTTTACTGCATTTATGTAATGTATATACCTTTCCCCAGTCTGTTATTTTTAATTGCACAAACATCTAATGACACTGAATTATATTGAAAGGTAGTGATTAGCTAAAGTCATACAATGAAAAATGGAATGGAACTATTTACTGGACCCTAGATATCTTACACTCCATGCTAGATTTTATTTGTTCTCATTGGCTATTGTGAATAAAAGAACAATTTTCAGCTCTAAGTCATTATGCACATATTGTGGGGAGTTGTTTTTGCACATGTCATGTTTTTACTAATGTAAACTCATAAAACATTTTGTATATATGTTTTATAGTTGACAACAGAAAGAAGGGGGGGAGTTTCAAAGAGCAGGCAGCAGTGTGGAATCGAAAGTACATTCCATTCATATTTTCTTCAAAGACTGATTAGATGACTGACACTTCTGCCACGCAAAAAATCTAATTGGAAAGCATGATTGATGACTCTTGACTATGGATGTTTTCCGTTGGATGATACACCTAGAGGGGTTGGGGTGGGGAAGCAGGATCAAGGTTGACAGTGAATTACGTATCTCAGACTTGGCTACATCCAGGTAAATGCTGGATGTAGAATGTTAACTTCAAATAAATCTTTGTTAGTTTTGGGAGTGTGGGTCGAGGCTCATGATTTAATTGGAGTAATTGCTGGAATCCTGACAACTACAAAATTTCATAGAAATTCTTCATACTTTTCTAGAAGCACAATATTCTCTTTCCCACAATAGCAAACAGAAATAGAAATACCTTTCTCTCTAAGTGCTTGTCTATGTATGTATGAATGTATGTGTTCATGTATGTGGGGAGACACATTACATAGATATAGAAATATGTTTGTATGTTTACAAGTGATATTTTGCTTTTCTTTCTTCCATTCAATTGTGTCTTTCTAAAAAAAACATGAAGGATTTCTATGAAACTATGTAGTATTTCACCACTACACCACCTCCATGGCTGTTGTAGATAAAATTTGCTTATGTAAGAATACACAAATATCATGGGCTGCTTATTGCCTGCTAACTCAGCATCATCCTGGCCTTGATTTGCCCT